GGGGGGCACAACCCCCCGGAGCAAAAAAATGTCCAACAAAAAAACAACTGGCACTGGCCCCCCCAAAAATCTGAAGTGCCCCCCCCCCCCCGGGAAAATTTCTGAAATAATCACTGGTTACAGGGCCCACACGATGATTCTGAGGTCAAGTGCCTACTGATGGAACTAGTGTTAGTGCCACCCTTGCGGGCTAAGATTTTACCGCTCTCCCTCTCACGATACAAACTCTTCAGTTGCTAAACTTGTTGGCGTCATTGGACAAGATTCATTTTGATCCCCCCCTTTTTTTCAACTCTGAAACCCATTATTTTCATCGCTTAAATACCATAAAACCCCATTTTAGCACAACCCGGGGGACATATTTCCCCTATGCCCTCCATATCTACCTTTATGCCCACCCAAAAATCTGAAATGCTCACCCAGAGGAAATCATCTGAAAGAGACACTGCCAGTAACTGAATGTGGAAAACATAATTGCCATGATAGTTGTTATTCACAAACTTTCTCTTTCTGTTGATTTCTTCGACATTCTAATTTGTATTCATGAGATGAGTAGTTTTCTAATTAATGACATCGGGGTGTATACCTGTAAACGCGGACAGAAGAAGAAGACTTCGGTATTCTCTCTATCCTTACTCACCCGATAAAGAAAAAAGTGCTCCCTGGGAAACCCCCCTCCGCACCGCCCTTCCAACGCACCAACCTTCCAACGCACTAACTATCCAATGCACCAACCTTCCAACGCACCAAGCTTCCAAATCACCAAGCTTCCAACGCACCAAGCTTCCAACGCACCAACCTTCCAACGCACCAACTATCCAACGCACCAACCTTCCAACGCACCAACCTTCCAACGCACCAAGCTTCCAACGCACCAAGCTTCCAACGCACCAACCTTCCAACGCACCAACCTTCCAACGCACCAACCTTCCAACGCACCAACCCTCCAACCCACCAACCTTCCAACGCACCAACCTGGGGGGGGGGGGAAGTGCCCCCACCCTACCCCCCGCGGGTGCCCATGGCTACACCTGTGTTTCTTTCAGGCATTTTCTCGGTAAAAAGGGAAGGGGGGGGGTAGTACCCCCCTGACGCCCCCCCCCCCCAATAAAAATATGTAAAAAAACCAACAAAATATATTTATTTTTAAAAAGAGTGACTGCATTGTAATTTTAATAACATTTTTAAAACAATAGTTACTGTTTACTTAAACCGATTACAATATTAGTGGAACATATGAAATATCGCTACGTTGGATACATTTGATGATGCATATTTAAGGCTAAGCTTGTTATAGGCTTACTGTGCTCTATCCATTATAAATAAAAAGCTTACTTTCTGTTTTTCGCATTTGTTGGTATTTTTATTTATATATTTTTTGCTACCTCACAAGTTCAAGTACTTTAAAAACACGGTATTTAACTACCTTTAGGTCTACATCAATATAAAGGTCTATAATTATATTGTATATAGGCCTATATATATATGTGTATATATATATATATATATATATATATATATATATATATATATATATACACATATATATATATAAATATATTTTAACAAATTTGTATTAAAATTAAAAGGCCGAATTGGCAGAAATAATGCAACAAATTGGCTATTTCGAAAAAGCTATTTTTCTGGCTTTTAATGTTGCAAATTTTAAATGCAATTCTTCAGCATTAAAGTTATTGGCAATATCGCTTTCAATAGAAATTATCGCCAAGTTGTTTAACCGTTCCTGAGTCATGGTCGATCATAAATAAGTTTTGATGATTTTAAGTTTCGAAAAACTTCAAATTTAATTTTCTGGCGCCTTTGAGATTGATCACGCATCGTAGGCCTAGCCGATTTTGGCCGGCCCCGATTTACTGATTTACTTACGTACCTATATAATAATATGAAGTCCATCATCACGACAATTTCAGGTGGCCATAAATGACAAACTAGTTAATTATAGTAATTCAATTATATTAAATAACCATTTGCTTCGAGATGCTCTCACTTTTTGTGGGCCACCCTGTAGTTCGTAATTCCAAATAAAAATTTCAACCAAGCTGAATATAGGGAAATCTAGATCTATAGTTTATTTTTTGTATAAAATTTCCCTCAGATGAAATAATACATTAATATCATTAAATAAATTATGGCTTTTTATAAACATCTC